AGACAGCACCCAATGCATCAATGAAAATAGTAATTTAAAAATCTATTAAACACATAAGACATGCTAGTGAATGTGCATGACCGCCTCAGTTACTCCTCTATTTTATGGAAGAGAAAAGTGAGGCTCAGAAAAGCTGAGTAATCTGCATAAGGTCATACAACAGGGGCAGAGCAGACACTCAAGTCCATGGCCTTGATTACTACTCTATGTGTGAGTCTCAGTGTGATCTAAGTATCACCTGCAGTACTTGCACAAATGAAGACCCCAGGATCTCACTTTATACCTCCAGAATCACAGATCTTTAGGTGTGGTTCTCAGGAATCTGCCTTTCCCCCACAATCTTCACAGTTTTTGATGCACAGGGTTGAGAACCCCAGTTCTAAAAATGAACTTCTAATGTATTTCATTACATTCAATATATAGGTTCAGACAGTCAGCTTTGTCATGTGCTAAGCCTTATGCCAGATGCTGGAGAGGCAAAAACAAGCTCCCTAGTCTAGAAAGGAAGACAGACATGCAAACTGACAACTTTTAGTACCCATGTGATACACCCTGTGGAGTCTGGGAACACAGGGAAAATGAACTACACATGCAAAGACCCAAAGAATATGCCCTGAAATATAGCGAACACTGTCCTGAAGTCAAGGAAGAACTTGGCTCCCTCATTTCTGGGAGCGGGGAGTGGAACATGTAAAGGATGAACCCTTGTAGGGGTGAAGCAGGGGCACAAGCTATTTTGCAGAGATGCTGTTTTCTCAGCTGAAGGAGCAGACACTCCCCAGATGGAAAGGATGAAGCGAAAGGATGGGGAGGCATTCGGGACCAAGATGAGACTGGGGAGTTCACCGGAATGAAGAGTCAAAAAGGCTATGCAAGGGCCGGATTGATCACAGGGGGTCTTGTCCTCCATACTGACGATCTTGATTGTAACTGCATGGCAACGAGGAAGTAGGTTCCAGATCAAAATTTCAAACCAGTTTGGCAGCAGAGTAGAAGATGGACAGGAGGATGAGGAAAATTACTTATGTCCATGCAAAAACTTACACACAGCATCCACTGCAGCATAAATATAATAGCCAAAACAACCAAAATGTCCATCAACAGATGAATGGAAAACATATGGTATAACCAAACAATGGAATGTTATTTGGCCATAAAAAGGAATAAAGTACTGACAACACAAGCCACAACATGGATGAACCCTGAAAACATACTAAATGAAAGAAGTCAGTCACAAAGGCCCCCATACTTTGTGACTCCATTTATATGAAATGTCCAGGATAGGCCAATATATGGTGATAGAAAGTAAATTAGTGCTTAACTATAGGGCAAGTGAGGACTGACTGTTAATGGTTACAAGATTTTTTTTTAGATTGATGAAAATATTCTAAAGTTGACTACGGTCAGTTTTAAAAAACTATGTGAATATACCAAAAGCCACTAAAATGTATATCTTAGGTGGATAAATTGTATCTTATGTGAATATTTCAATTAAAAAAACCATAATGAAAAAAAATCAAGTGGTTACGCAATATTGATTCATGCTTAAGATTTCAGTCTTAGATCAAACTTGTAGCCAGCAGCATTGATCTTCTTGCCATTCATCAATGCTGAGAGTATCTGTTTTATGCCTACTTTCAGATCTGGAGTATTGAAATCTTTCATGCTGGAGCTTCCTGTCTGGCTTCTTTCACTTAGTGTAGTATTTTCAAAGTTCATTCACGTTGTAGCATGCATCAAAACTTCCAATTCATGAACATGGGATGTTTTTCCATTTATTTAGATTTTCTTTCATTTCTTTCAGCTATATTTTATTTTTTTATTTTTTAAAAGATTATTTTGACAGAGAGAGAGATCACAAACAGGCAGAGAGAGGGGGGAAGCAGGCTCCCTGCCGAGCAGAACCTGATGCGAGGCTCAATCCCAGGACCCCGAGATCACTACCCAAGCCGAAGGCAGAGGCGCAACCCACTGAGCCACCCAGGCGCCCTCTTTCAGCTATATTTTGTAGTTTTCAGTGTCCTCCCCTTGGTTAAATTTATTTCTAAGTACTTCATTCTTTTTTTTAAGTACTTTATTCTTTTTGATGCTACTGTAAGTGGAAGTATTATTTTAACTTCATTTTCAGAGTTTTCATTACTTGTATATAAAAATGCAAGTAATGGGGCACTTGGGTGGCTCAGCTGCTTAAGTGTTGATTTTAGCTCAGGTCATGACCTCAGGGTTGTGAGATCAAGTCTGTACTAGACTCAGTGCAGGACATAGAGCCTGCTTAGGATTCTCACTCACTCTCTGCCCAAAACACTCTCTCTTTAAAAAAAAAAAAAAGAAAGAAAGAAAGAAAGAAAGAAAGAAAGAAAGGGAAGTGATTTTAGTATATTAACCTTGTACCCTGCAAATTAGCTTAAGTTTATTAGCTCTAACAGTTTGTTAATTCTTAAAGGTTTTTTAGATATAAATTATGCCATCTGCAAACAGAAATAATTTTACTTATTCCTTTTCAATAACTTATTTCTTTCTCTTGCCCAACTGCTCTAGCTAGAACTTCCAGGAAAATACTGATAGAAGTGGTTGAGGGTGGACATCCTTTCTTGTTCCCAATCTTGAGGGAAAGCTTCCAAAATCTTTCACCATTAAGTATGCTGTTAACTGCAGGTTTTTCAGAGATGCCCTTTAACAGACTAACAAAGTTCCCTTCTATTCCTAATTTGTTCATTGTTTTTTTTTTTCTTATCATAAATGGGTTTTTAATTTTTGCCAAACATTCTCTCTGTGCCCATTGTCAAGATTATCTTGTTTTTTTTTTCTCCCCTTATTCTATTGAGATATGTATTATACTGATTAATTATCATATATTGAACTAACCTTGTATTTCTGGGATAAATCCTACTTGGTCATGGTGTATGATCCTTTTTGTCTGTTTCTGGATTGTTTACCAGTATTTTGCTGAGAATTTCTGCATAAGGAATATTGACTCATAGGGTTTTTTTTTTTTTTTAAGATTTTATTTATTTATTTGACAGACAGAGATCAAAAGTAGGCAGAGAGGCAAGCAGAAAGAGGAGGAAGCAGGCTCCATGCTGAGCAGAGAGCCCGATGTGGGGATCGATCCCAGGACCGTGGGACCATGACCTGAGCCAAACGCAGAGGCTTTAACCCACTGAGCCACCCAGGCGCCCCTTGACTCATAGTTTCCTTATGACATTTTTTTCTGGCTCGGTTATCAAGGTAACACAGGGACACACAGGGAAAATGAACTACACATGCAAAGACCCAAAATGAGTCTTTGGGTCTCACAAGATGAGTCTTGCAAAATGAGTCAGGAAGTATTCTCTCCTTTATTTTTGGAAGAGTCTGAGAAAGGCTGGTGTTAGTTCTTCTAAACATTTGGTAGAAATCACCAATGAAGCCATCTGGTCGTGGGCTTTTCTTTGTTGGAAGTGTTTTGCTTATTAAGTCAATATCTTCTGTTGAATAGATCTATTCAGATTTTCTTTCTTCTTGAGTCTTTTTTTTTTTTTTAAGATTTTATTTATTTATTTGGCGGGGGGAACAGAGGGAGAAGGAGAAGGACAAATAGACTCTGCAATGGGCATGGAGCCTGACACAGAACTTGATCCCAGGACCCTGAGATCATGACCTGAACTGAAACTAAGAATCAGACACCCAACCAACTGAGCCACCCAGGTGTCCCCTTCTTGAGTCATTTTTCATAGTGCATCTAAGAATTTGTCCTTTTATACCTAGGTCATCCAATGTGTCAGTGTACAGCTGGTCATAGTATTCCCTTTTAAGTATTATTATTATTATTATTTTCTAAGTAAATAAGTATTCCTTATTTCTTGAGGTCACTAGGAATGTCCCTTCTTTTGAAGTCTGCTCTTTTTTTTCCTTGGTCCATCTAGCTAAAGGTTTGTCAACTTGTTGATCTTTTCAAAGAACCAGCTTTTGGTTTCATTAATCTCTTCTACTGTTTTTTCTGCTCTAATTTTTATTTCTTTCCTTCTACTTTGGTTTAGTTTACTCTTCTTTTTTACTTTCTTAAAGTGAAAGGTTGGGTTACTGATTTGAGATTTTCTTTTTGAAGATACGTGTTTATGGCTATAAACTGCTCTCAATGCCTCCTACAAGTTTCAGTAGGTTGTGTTTCACTTTCATTCTCTTTATTTTCTAATTTCCCTTGTGATTTATCCTTTGGCCCACTGGTTTTTTTTTTTACTTTAACTGTTTAATTTCCACTTAGTTGTGAATTTTCCTTCTGTTACACATTTCTAATTTCAATCCATTGTGGTTAGAAGATACTCAATATAATTTCAATCTTTGTTCAAATTTGAGACATTTTATGATCCAATATATACCCTATCCTGTAATGTTCTATGTGTACCTGAGAAGAATCTTTGATACTGCTGTGGTTGGGTAGGTCCAGTTATACATATATGTGTATACACATATATATACGTATACACATATATATACACATATATATACATTTATATATATATATACACACATACATATATATACACATAGAGTGTCTAGTATCAAGTTCAAGTCTTAATATGTCCTTGATGATTTTCTATCTACTTATATCCCAATCATTTACTTTTTTTTGCTAAGTAATTTATTGCAATAAACTTACATAAAATATATATAAAATTTATCATTTTAACCATTAACGAAAATATTAAAGTAAAATAAACATATTTTTACTCTCAGTCCAGATGAGGCCTCAGCAAAAGCAGTTAACAGGACTTAAGTAAGAAAGTGTTACAGAATAGCTGAGTAAAAGTACTGGAAAGATTAGCTACTCTGGAAAGGTAAGAACTGATGCCATCCAAGTGGCCCTCAGCCAAATTTGGGACAGACTGTGTGTTGAATGTGTTCTTAAAATTCAGCATAGGATCCCCCATCTTAATGTGAGATATGTAGCGAGCTATGACACTCTAGCATCTGGTGCGGCCACTGCTCATGTGGGACAAAGGAACCATATAATTGATTACCTGATAACCTTCTGTCTTCTTCTGACACCACTTCAGCAAGGCATTCCTCTTTGAACCTCCATATTCTCTTGCCAATGCTGACAGAGGGTCCTTCCTTTCTTCCCTAAGTGAAAACAAGGAACCCAAAGTTAAAAAATTTTTTATTTGAGCTTGATTATAAACCAGAAATCCCACAAAGAAGAGAACAATGTCAGTGTGCATTTTTCAGTAGTATAACTGCACACACTAAGACATCTAATGGCAAGATGCATCTTTTCACTAATATGATTTTACTTACAATTTTGACAGGACCCTCACTGACCCACCACTGTCAGGGGTTTCTGCTGTCTGAAGGGAGGAACTCTATTATCCACAAGGAAACTGAAAAAGATTCAGTACAGTGTGCATTCACAATTAATGGAATGCACTCCAGGACGCTCAGAAGGGGGCATAATAACTTGATGCTGGCAGCATCTGAAAGCTGCCACAGCCGCCTTTCACCTAATACCTTACCTTTCCATAATCTTTATGCTTTATTTTATTTTATTCATTTTTGCTTCTTACCTTTTATGTCCTCAATCATTTCCTCTTTTTTAAAAACAAATCCTTCTTGTAAATACAAAGGATTATAAGGCATGGTTCCTGCCTTCAAGGTGCTTACAACTGGGGGAAGCAGATAAGACAACAGATGGCGACAAACATCCATAAAACATCTCAAATGTATTTACTGCTCTTTCTTGACTATAGGTAATTAGAATAGGTAATTAGAATTTTATCTTGCATAGAAAAATGGGATTTTTCTGTAAATTCACTCACTCATTCAATACCTCCTTACCCACCACTTCGCCAGTCAGTGTGCAAGTGCTGGGCAATGAGTAGTGAACAACACAGGCTCCCTGCCTCCTCAAGGAACTTCAGAGTTTACTATAAGACACAGATAGACCACAGAAGTTCAAAGAAAGAAAGGAAGAAAGGAAGGAAAAAAAGAGAGAAAGAAAGAAAGAAAACCCAACAATGGCTGTAACTCATTTCTTAAAAATATACGTAGGGTACTTCTGGGTACTGCCAATTTCCTTGAAGGCAGAACAAACATCCTGTTCCAGATAAGACAATGAATCAAAAAAGATGTTTGGATCACACAAGGGAGGTACAACCCTGCGTATCTAGGCCAAATCCTTCCTTTTAGTAACTACTTCAGGACTACCTAGAGTAAGAGTACCTCTAAAATAACTTGCTCCTTCACTAGCGGCATACCCTTGAAAGCCTGGTCTAGTTTTTAGTGATTACTTAAGAAAGCAGAGATTCTACCCCACACTCCATAAACTTAGTCCAATAAGTGTCCTAAAGGTTATGTTACAAGCAGCTCAGTATTCTTCAACACATTGATTCTGTCTGTATTCACCCTTCAAAACAAGTTAGGAAATATAAGAGTACACACTTAGAACTGAGGCTTTTTACAATTGAGAGGTGCACTGAATCCGCACCAGTTTGATTTATCTTAGAACCAGAAGTAAAATACAAAAATTTTCAAAAAGCAGTTAAAACTGCTACCTTGAAGAAATATATATATATATATATAAATATATATATATATATATATATTTTTTAAGAAATATACTTTTATGCTTGTGTGCCAGCCCACCAGACTCCTGCTTTGGTTTAAAAAGTTCAAAGAAGTGTGTTAAAATACCACTGAACATAGGAAAAGAGAATGAAGATAAAAGTTATGTGAATGAACACAAAAAAGCAAGCCAAAAAAATAAATAAATCAACCTCCATCATGCTAAAAATAAAACTACTATAATCACTGTGAAAAGTTTATTCTGGCTCACACCAGGTCTGTTTGTTTATAGAAACAGCTTAAAAAGCATCAAAGAAGAGTAATTCTATGGACTACAATGGGAAGCTGCAAAAAAAGATCCTCCCAGAGCTGGAGGGTCATCTCTCATAACTTTGTCATCGTAAGATGAAGACAATCTCCAGGAGATGACTTGTTGAAAATCACAGCTTCTGAGTAGGGAAGCCAGAAGAGTGGGTGCCCTTTCCACAGGCACACTGCAGGTGGCCTACTACCCAGGATGGAGACAAGCATGGACAGTGCTCTCCCTGCATCAGCCTGGCCAGAGCGAGAGCTACCCTACTTGCTCTGATGGTACACTGTTTATAGGACCACTATTCTAAGAGGCTGGGCCATAATGGCAGGGCTTTAAACACAAGTACATAATTTGAGTTTGAGAGGCCAACCATTCCATTTTATCCTCATACCTATAAGTCAATATAAATCTAAAGTTTTTTTAAAAAAAGATTTTATTTATTTATTAGACAGACAGACACAGCGAGAGAGGGAACACAAGCAGGGGGAGTGGGAGAGGGAGAAGCAGGCTTCCAGCCGAGCAGGAAGCCTGATGCAGGGCTCAATCCCAGGAGGACCTGAGCCAAAGAAAGATGCTTTACAACTGAGCTACCCCAGCACCCCATAAATCTAAAGTTCTGAAACCCACTCCCATCTCTCCTTCAATTCTCAATAAACTTCAAAACAACAGTTTTCCTCATCCCTATAAACAATGTTTGCTTCATTTCTGACATTTGTTTTTTTCCCCTCTAAATGATACCTATTTCTTAGTCCCAAACGGCTTCTGATATAAGAGAAAAATGAATAAAATATACTATTCCATTTTCAGGTATTGTTTATCAGCGATCAATGCAGCATCATGTCCTTAGTTTCCTCTAAAAATAATTAGAGTCCCCTTTGGTAACTCTCCTTTTTTCATTCCTTTTCTAGAAATCTGTTGTCAGAATCAACCATCTTTCCCTTTGAAAAGCCTCCAGAGTATAAACCTCCCTTCACCATTTCCACTGCTATCATCCTGGTCCGGGCGTGGTAGAAACATCATAATGTTATTTTAGTTGTGTTCCCCAACTTTTCTCCACAAGAGAAAAATCCTTGAATCACCTTCTCACATTGATTTACTTACCCCGCTTTATAGCTACAACCATATCTGAGTGACTCAGTTGGACTATAAAGAGGTTCCATGCCTAGCCATTCCCTACTGTCAATCTTTTCTTCCATGGCCCCTGGATGTAGTAGGTCCACACCTTCCTCTGGCCTTCTGTACCCATCCTCTGTGCCTGTGCAGTACTACCTCCCACAGCTCTCCCAGTCTTCAGTTACTCACCCTTCTGTTCATTGACTCACATCACTGACCTTGCCAACAATGCCAGCCTGCCCTCCCCACCCAGACACCACTCCTCTCGGAAGCCTTCCCTAACCCTCTACCCAAGCCCAGTATTCTGATTCCACAATGCTTTCTTTAGGGGAAAGGAACCATCTCTTTTATGTTGCCTTGCTTTTTATCATGCCATCCTACCCAACTCTGGGCATAGAAGAGACGAGAAAACATTTAATGAGACACAAAGGAAAAAAAATCAGTGCTTGACTGCCATTATTTCACAACCTGATCATCAATCTCCAAAGGCCAGGAAAGGTATGCATGAAATGCACCAGGATTAACTGTTCTCTACCTTATCCGACTTCGAGTGGTGGGGGTGACGGATGCCGTGGGAGAGGAGGACAGAGAAAGCTGTGGAGACGTGGTTCCCATAGCCATAAGAGAGGCCGGTGAAGCTCCCTCAGGTGCAGAGATCTCTCGTTTCATCTCTTCACTACTTCGTCGAGACACTGATTGTGAGAAACAGTCATTATGCATTTTACATAAATGCAGAAAAACATTTACTTTTATAAAACACTTTTATAAATTGAGGGACGCCTGGGTGGCTCAGTCAGTTAAGCCGCTGCCTTCAGCTTCCAGTCGTGATCTCAGGGTCCTGGGATCAAGTCCCTCATTGGGCTCCTTGCTTGGCAGGGAGCCTGCTTCTCTCTCCACCTCTGCCTGCTTGAGCATGCTCTTCCCCTCTCTCTCTCTCTCTCTCACACACACAAATAAATAAATAAATAAAATCTTAAAAACAAACAAAATACTTTTAAATTGAGATAGTTTCTTCAGCACGTTCAAAAAAGAGCAGAAATGACCATATAGGAGGAAAAAAATAACATTTTCTTTATCACACTGGTAACTTGAATGGATTTACTTCTTTTACTAGGAAAACGGTAAAAAAGGTACAGCAATTGAGATATGCACTGAACTCCACACTCCCTGAAGTGAGGAGTGTGTCTTATCCATCCCCATTAACACAGAACCTACCTAGCCCACAGTGAGCGCTCCAGAAATGTTCATTTAATCACAAATACAGTGAAAACCAAAGGCTAATTAAAGCCTTACTTGGCAGCTATTCACTCTCAACTAAAATAAACAAAACCCTTCTAAACTTAGTCAAGATACCATTAAAAGGAATGAAAGGAAAGATTCTTCATTACAGGGCCACACTTAATTCTGGATCAGGCCATGTTTCTAAAAACATGAACCAGTAAGACAAACCAAAAGATGTCAACTACTGAGAAATAAGGGCAATAAGGAAAGTTCTGTTTTAAAAGGCTAGCACACCCTGTCAGAACAACATAAAGTTCTGAGAACTGGTAAGTAGAAGTAGCCCATGCTTCAGCCTTTGGTAACAGAGCCACAACAACACAACAGAGCTAGCTACTTTCTAGCAAGGCACAGGTGCTCGTGGCCCTGGGCTGAATGCAGGAAGAAGGGAAACAAGAGCAAAGTTCCTGACCTCAGATACACACTCTCTCTCATGAGAAGATGCTGGATGTGCAGGCGCCCCGAGCTGGCTGCAATCAGTGCTGTACATCAGTAATTCTTCCCTAATGACTGAAATGGTCCCCCCTTTCAGAGACTAAAATGTTCTTGGTGATTTTAGGATAGCCAAAGCAGAACCTAACTCTGCATTAGTAAAGTGATGTCTGTAAAGATCCAGAGAAAAGAGATGCTTTCTCCTATTACATGATCTTATTAGAATGATGTATTTGTACATATTTCTGACATAATCTTATAATTATTCTTATTTTTTCTTTCAGTGTCAGATCTTTGCATGCCTTAAATCAGCAGTTTAAGTGGTGTGCTAGAAAACTGGCTGAGAACACCTTTCATCATTTTATATAAATTAGAGGAAAGTGAGAAAGAATAGGAAGGACTCTGTGAGAAGAATAGGCTTTGGAACCTGGGCTTTGGGATGGTAATTTTGGCTGGACTTTCACTAATAAGACCCGACTATGACATCTGAAAACTGTACTAACTTAAATCACTGTACAAGTGGAAGGGTAACTGTAAGCCAGAGTTACGGAAATTTCTCCTTTCCTGGTCCAATTTCTAGTTGAGTTTAAAAGGGTAAATAAGGGCCACAAAAGGAAAATAATGTGAGCAACTGATAAACTGGAGTTACCCCTAGGAGACAAGGGGAGCCTGTCAAAGTCATCATTATAGGATGGCTTTATCAGACTGGAAAAATCTGGTTTCCGGAGAATTTTTGGTGTGCTCTGAAATAATAGTTATGACATACCTTGGGAAGGATATCCTAATCTTTCACAACTATACTAACTTTGTATCAAGCTACAATTTTGGCACAATATCTAACCCATTCTAGGTCTCTCATAAATACTTGTTAAAGAAATGGAATGATCTAGTTTTCAGGGTTGTTTTATTTATTTTAGAGATTTTTATTTATTTATTTATTTAACAGAGAGGGAGAGAGAGCAAGCACAAGCGGGAGAGCTGCAGAGGAGAAGGAGAAGCAGGCTCCCCACCGAGCAGGGAGCCCAACATAAGGCTCAATCCCAGGACCCGGGGATCCTGACCCGAGCCAAAGGCAGATGATTAACCTACTGAGCCACCCAGCTGCCCTCTTTTATTTTAAAATCACAGTCATGAAATGTGATTTCTATAGAATCTAGAAGATACAACAGGGGAAATTCAGAGTGAAAATAATCAACTCAAGGGACACCCTTGGCTTAGTCGGTTAAGCATCCGCCTCTTGATTTCAGCTCAGGTCGTGATCTCAGGGTTGTGAGATCAAGCCCCATGCCAGGCTCCCAGCTCAGTGGGTTGTCTGCTTGAGTTTCTCTCTCTTTGCCCCCTTCCACTCCCTGCTCATGCATTCTCTCTCTAAAATAAAAATAAATCTTTAAAAAAAAAAAATCAATTCAAGAGCTAAAGAGTCAAGAAAAGTTAAGTAAGTCTAAAGAGAAAGCATTTGGTACCATTACTAAAACTTCTGGAAGAGTCTTTCTAAAGGAAATTCCAGATAAAAAGTCATCACCTGAGATGGTCTTGGCACTTTCCATGGCAGGTACTCTTGGCAGAGAAGCGGGTCGGCTGGTTGAAGATGTTCTTAATAGATGCTCTGCACAAAACAGGAAGGGTCAAAATAAAGACATCAGACACTGAACTTTGAAATCACAAAGGTAGCAGGAAGGTGATCTCTCCTCCTCTCCCCACCGCCCCCAGGCTCATCTTTCCTTCTCAATATAAGGCACTCTAACAATCCCCCGTGGAGCCCATGTCTACAGAAGAGCTTCTGCAGACAAGGATTGTGGGAAAACATTTCATTCAATGTCTGATTTCTAGGGATGATTTTTGACACAGATGAATGCCTCTAAATCAGTGACTGCTAAACAAAAATTCAAAGATCTTCTATGTTGGTCTAGAAGTACAAGCTAAATCAAAGTCTTGCCCTTATGTTCCTACCAAGAGCAGGGAAGCCATACATATACACAACCAGAGACAAAGAAGATTGGACAATTACAATAAGAATGACAAAGTATTATCAAACCACAGAGTGAGAAGACATTCACTTTGATTTAAGGCAGCAGGGAGGTCTTCAACAATATAATGATGTTAAGCTGGGCTTTACTAACAGAAAAGAGAGCAGGAACAATATTTTGGCCAGAAACAATGAGAACAAAGGTGTAAGGACGTTTGAGTTACAAAACAATAAACAGGTCATAACAAAATCAGAGAGGGCAGCAGGAAAAGGGGCTCTGAAGGGACAAGGCTGACCAACAAGAGCCTTCATTACCTTTTCTGTGGACTTCAGTCGGAGAGCAACAAGGAAGCACCAGACATTTCTGAGAATTTGGGAAGGTACTGCCTCTACTGCCCAGTTTGTAGCCACAGCCCTATTTCACCCCTCTCTTGCTCTCTAGACTCCAGTTTCTCAAACTGGAGCTTCCCAAACATTGGCACAAGCTGCTCCCCTGCCTCCTGTTCTCTTCCTCCATTCCCGCTATAGTCTGGATACCTTCACCATCCTTCTGGTCTAGCTTCAACATCACTTCCTTAGGACCGCCCTCCTGGAATGGCAGCCCCAAACAGACCAGCACACACTTCATGCCTCAGGCTCCAAGCCTGACAAGGCTGTCATCAGGCCAGGACAAGCACCAGGACGGACAGACTAGATGTGTTCTGCCCAGTTGCCATGTGCAAAAGATGTGTGATTAGCATAAGGGAAAACACTACCTCTTGAACTTACTGAAGACTATTAGTCTCACTATCCAAGAATGTCCCCATAGTGAACATATTTTAACAGATCATTTACCACTTTAAAAAAATAGTTCCTCTCAGAATATCATCATGTCAAAAGTAATGGCATATGACAGCTTTCAAGGATAACATACCTGCTATTTCAAAATCTATTTTCTAAGTATATGAGGAACATTTTTATTTGGTTACCAAATGTAACTAATTACATACAACTTTGGGAAGGATGAACTTACTTTCTTAATGAAGACAGGACTTATATAGCCTAGAGTCACTACATCTTTCCAAACCTGAACAAATATCACCTCTGTGCGAAGAGTCCACAAGCAAGCATCAATCAGAATTCTGAACCCTGTCAGTGGTTGGCATTCATCCTCACAGGAAAAGCAAATTATGCACAGTCTGACAGACAAAAAAAGTTAGCAGAACACGGAAATAGTAGGAAACAGAAATCAACATTTTAAATTTAATCAAAATTTCCATTTTACAATTATGAAACCAGTCATTTCCCCAAAATCTTAATCTCCCAAAGAACACAGCAAATGAAGAAAGTGAAAATAAAGCTTGTAACAGACAAATGAATCCAAACAAGAAGCATGTTGGCTAAGGCAATAAGCCCATGTCATTCCCTAAAGGGAAAGTGTTTCTAAATTGCACACTATAAGAACACGACCGAAACAAAGCTCATGAAATTTACTGCTGATTCCTCTGCTCAACCCTGGTTAAATCTTTCCTTACTGCATGTCTAAGGATCTGTCTCCATTCGGCAGGTACTCCCCTACCACAGACCAACACCTACTTTTTAAAAAAATGCACAAAATTAGGGGCGCCTGGGTGGCTCAGTGGGTTAAAGCCTCTGCCTTCGGCTCAGGTCATGATCCCAGGGTCCTGGGATCGAGCCCCACATCGGGCTCTCTGCTCAGCAGGGAGCCTGCTTCCTCCTCTCTCTCTCTGCCTGCCTCTCTGCCTACTTGTGATCTCTGTCTGTCAAATAAATAAATAAAATCTTAAAAAAAAATGCACAAAATTGTACTGAAGGCCTCAACAGGGTTATTCTTTTCAAAATTATTTGTGGTCATCTTCATCGGGCACAACACAGTCTGCTGCCATTCCATGAAGTGCTCTCATTGTGGGACTCAAACTCGCTCAGAGGCACTTGTCCCAGGGCGAGCACATGTCCATTTACTACTGCTGTCAGCCGCTGGATTCCGTCTGCATGTCAAACTATCAGTTTATCGCTCTTCAGCAAATAAGACTGGTGTATTACAGTCATATGTGGTAAGCAGGAGAGATTCTATTTTATAGTAATAGAGTCTATTCTACTGCCATATGGAGCTTTTCGTGTCTTTAATATATTCATTAAACAAAAAACATTTGGGTGTCCACTACTCAGTAGGCACTAGGCTTGGTGAGAAGGTCAAAGAAAGGAAGAAAGGAGGCAAGAAACTTACCCTTACAGAACTCAGAATCTAGAGCAGAAGCCAGATACTTAAAAAAAAAAAAATAAAATCATTACAAGTGAGGGATGCTAGGAAAGAACAAGTACACAGGGCTCTGGGAACACAATAGGGGATGTGACCTGCTCTTGAGGGGAGGTCCGGAAAAGCCACCTCAGGAAATGACATCTCAGTTCAGATGAGAAGGGTAATTAATAGCTTTTACACAGGCAAAGGAGGGGCTGGAGGGGAGAGTGTTCCCAGCTGAGGGCTCAGCACATACCAGAGCAACTCCAGGGCAATGTTCAGAGGACGGGGGAAAAGAGGAACAGATGAGGCTGCAGAGGCCGGCTGGAAGGGCCAGAACAGGCAAGGGAAAGCGTGCAGGCAATGCAGGCCAAATTAAAGAGTTTGGACTGTACCCTGCCGGCAACAGGGAGCCAATGAAGGCACCAACTGAGCCACCCAGGTATCCCAGGATGTGGTGAGCATTTTTAAATGACAGTGGAAGGGAGCCAGTAGACAGAGTAAAGCTGAGTATCTGGGAGAAGTGGATCATAGCCTGAAGCTAACAGCATCTGTGACAGCCCAAGGGGACGAGATCCAGGGCTCAGGGGAAGGGATAAACCTACACAGAGTTGTTCTGTTCATGTCCAACAGACAGGCAACAATAACAGGAGCATAGTAGGTCTGCTACTTAATGCTCTCTTATTTTAGGAATCACAGAAATAAACAGGTACAGGCAGTTATCCCTTTATTGTTTCCCAAAACAAATTTTCAGGCAAAATAGTGGGCTTTAAAATAGGAGCCTAGGGACGCCTGGGTGGCTCAGTTGGTTAAGCAGCTGCCTTCAGCTCAGGTCATGATCCCAGCATCCTGGGATCGAGTCCCACATCGGGCTCCTTGCTCGGCAGGGAGCCTGCTTCTCCCTCTGCCTCTGCCTGCCATTCTGTCTGCCTGTGCTCGCTCTCTCTCCCTCTCTCTCCCTGACAAATAAATAAATAAAATCTTAAAAAAAAAAATAAAATAGGAGCCTAAATGGTCAACTTCTGCTCAGAGAGTAGTTCCAAATGGACTGATGCTCCTGCCAAAAAGGAGTATAAAATCTGAAAAAAATATGAAATTCAACCACTTACGGGGGCATTGAAGAAAATCCAAAAGCAGGCAGAAAATTAAAGGAGTAAACACGTGGAAGAATGAAAGAGCATAGGGGTGAGTTTCCCAGTTTATGGCTCCAGGCATGAGTGCAGGCCCCAGGTGAGGCCTTACAGGACAGCTGGTAGACACCTTTACTGCCTTGAAGAAGGAGAAGATGGATGTCAGGACAACCAAAGCTGCTGAAAAGGGAGGGAGTAGGGAAATACCAGAAAGAATCACAAATTCTGTATACATACTCTGCCCAAATCTCTTACTGACCTCTGAAAACCACTAGCACTCAGATTCCAAGGAGTTAAATTAAGGACAAAATAACTGAACAGGTATTTCAACTGAAGGAAAAGAAGTTAGATGGAGTTTGAGATGAGCCAAGGTACTGTTTGCTATCAAAAACCAATTTTCTGCAGAGGAACAAAACGGAAAGCAATCTCTACAATGTGTGATTGATGACAGCCAGAATATAATTCAAAATTACTAGACATACAAAGAGAGAGAGAAAAGTGACCCATACTCAAAAGAAATGGAAACCTACCCAAAACCTACCCAAAGATAATCCATGTTAGAATTAGCAAAAAAGAGTTTAAAGCAGCTATTACAGATATGCTCGACATTATAAAATATATATACATATTCTCAACAGATGAGAAATCTGAGCTGAAAGAGTCACAAGAATGTGAGACTGGCGCTCCCTAAGACGCAATATGCAAAGGCAGCCGAAAGCAGTATTTGGAGCGAACATTGAGAAAACTCCTCCCAAACACCAGCCCCCCTCTAAATATAAGGATCACCAGAGCAGCTGGAAGCCTGCTGTGCACTAAGGACACCACAGCAACTTAAAACCCAAAGCCAGCCCAGCTCCTGAACAGATCAACTCAAATCAACTCAAAGAGGTGCCTGTGTCAAGGCATAAAACCAATCTACTGCCCTATATAAGATGTCCAGATTTCAACAAAGTCTACAATATTAAAAAAAAAAAAAACAAGAAAAAAAAAGTATATCCAGTTTACTATGTCAAGGCACAAAGTAATCAATAAAACCAACACAGATGTAGCAGAGATGTTGGAACTATCTGATAGGGCACTTAAAATACTATAATGAGTATGTTAGAGCCTCTGATGGAAATAGACAAACAGAAGATCAGTGAAGCTTTCCTTCTTTCCTTTGATTTTTGCTTATAGTTTCCATCTCTCTGCTAAAATCAGATAAATAAAACTGTGAGAACCATGTCTCTGGTTCTCAACTGAAGGCAAGTTTGCCAACACGGCATTGTCTT